GCCCCCCCCCCCCTTATGGAAAGTTACATAAGTTTAGCCTCTAGCCCCCCTGGACAAATTCCTGTTCACGCCCCTAAATTTCTATTAAACTAAAAACTTCAACGCTAGCAACTTAAGAATGATTGAATTATTAACCTTATTCCTCTGTTGGTAGCATGAATCACAGACCGAGTAATTATTATGCCATCTACTACTCTGACCGGACCCGGGGGTCTTGCTCCCACAATCAGTGCAGCGTCGACATCTCTTACATTTCCAACCATTCTTAGGTACACTTGCCATCTGGGGTCTACACAATTTACATTATTTTATAAAGATTAATTAGAGCTAGGAACTCTTGTATTGTAGATATCGAGATCAATGCTTGATCTCGATCTTGTGTTAATTTGCAGATCATCTTAATCGATATTCAATATCCCGCATGGAAATCTTACACTGGAGAAAAAACTGAAATGTAGAGAATAAGAATTAATCCTCTAATGTGCTCACAGTGGCGAGATCAAGTGATCCGAAGTATGAATATCCAACACAATGTCCCAGCTTGGTAGGGCTGAGTATAAAACTTATGTTTTAGATATCGATTAGTTTTAACGACTCAACTCGATAACCTCTAAACTTTTGAATTGAGGTTGAACTTCTGAAATCGGTTGAAGTTTTACATTCCAGGCACAATCGAGGTATCCAGCTTAATAATCACAAAGATTCTACTAAAATATAGGTGTTTTCCCGGTTTGTTTCCTTAAATACTCAAAAATAAAATGTTACAGATCAAATCATTATTGAATGATGGTTTTCCTCCTCTATTAGAAGTAAGGAACAATCCCTTTAATAAACTTAAAGCTTACCTAAGACAGTATGCATGATATGCTCCATCACACACATCACAGAGAAGATATCGATCCTCGTTACCTAACAACATATTTACAAATAATAATAATCCATTATTTTAGAAATAATCCTTTTTTCTATGGCTGAGGATTGTATGGGTGTTATTGTTATCGTTAGGGGTTTCAGTTTCACCCTTACACACTGGCTAGAACATTTAGTGAATAGTCTTAAAATGGTTTTTGAAGATTAGGGAGAGGAAAATGAATATTGAATAATTGGATTTGAAATGACATGTTAACTTTTGATTGTCCTTTGATTGATACTTGTATCCCAAAATATTTATCAATTTTTCACTTTTAGTTATTCATTTCCTCTAATCATTTGATATAACCCTTTAAAAATCAGTAACTCTCCGCAAGAACATTACTTTTACATTAATTAATTAAGAAATTATAGTCCTGAAAATTTCATGACTTGACTCCACAAACACACACCCACTTTACTCACACTAGGTCCAAGATGGGTAAATTTTCATATTTATTGGTATAACAAAAAGATCATTATTATTATTATTATTATCACCTGAAAGACGACAGTTCTGGCAGGATTTACATTTCTGGCATTGCCAGCCTCCCCGGATCCTTTCTGTTATCTTAATATGAGCTCCAGAGTACAGGTAGTGCTGACCGCAGGTTGTACAGTACAACAGGTTTTCTAGCTTACTGGCAGGGATCTCACACACCTATACAATATACATAAAGTGATAGCCAGAAAACTCTGAAATAGGATGACGACTTTTGGACTAAAAGTATGACTTTAGAAAGTCCAATGCGCGCGATACAGAAAAAGTGCAACGTAAACAGACCCAGTTCACTTAATTAGCGATTTAATAAATGTATACTAAAACTGTAATAACGTCGTCTTCCTATTTCAGTTGTGGATTATACAGATATCGTCTTCCTATTTCAGTTGTGGATTATACAGATAACTCACACGTTTAACTTTAGGCTCACATCTCATTATCTCGTAGGGTGCTGAGAGATTTGTGGCCGAATTTAAAGAATTTGAGCGGCGGTTTAAATTTAAGCCGCGGCTTAAATATGGTTGGTTCCACTTAAAATTGTATTAAATGTTTCAAGATTTAAGCCGGCGCTGAATTTAAACCGGCTTTTGGCAGATTTAAACCGCGGCTCAAATTCTTTAAATTCCATCTCAGGTTAATTGTTTTCTCTGAGGAAACTCAGAACACAAATTGGACTCACTATTTCAAATAAAATAAAACCCATTAAGATTTGTCCAAATTTAACAGGTAGAAACATGAAACGTGATGTTTAACACTAAATTAGGTAACTGAGTTTAGAAAAATTGCTAAATAGCAGCATGTATTTCTAAATAGTTTTTTTCTCAAAATATCCTATTTTTTGGGATTCAATACCTTTCCAATTTTCCACTGTGTACCAGTGTAGTAGAGATAAACTGCATTAGTGGCGATACCCGCCACCTTGTCATATGCCTCCACGCTGACCATGACGAGGGAGGATTTCTCTAGGAACGCCCCGGAGGCGACAGCACACGGCCAGTGGTAGACCCGGTCACTAGCCTTGCAGGGGACACTAGCACCATAGTGTTTACAGTGGGAACATCTGCAGATTAGGAGATATTAGAGTTTAGATATTTTTAGGATTGCAGATTTATCAGGTTTAGGAGATTTTACAGAGAAATATTATTTTTAAACATGTTAAGTCTAGTTTAATTCCAGGTTTTTGACGACATAACTAACTAACCTTGTAGTTATCCCGTTGAGGACGGCCTGAGAGACAAACTTCAACAATGGTGTACTACTAGTGCTTCCTTCCTTTTCTGTCTCAGTTTCCATCTTGGACTTGAGCACGCCCCCGGACCATAGAGCGCAGTTGAAGTGAGCGTAGAAAACTCGGTTTGATTCAAAAACAAGCGAGACGTCAACTTCCACTTGGAACCCGATCATATCGAGCTCGTCAACCGGCTCGCCCTGATCTCCGCTGAAAAATTTGCGGATTTTTCTTCGCGCGAAAATTCCGTTGGGACTTTTCCCTCGGTCACTCGGGCTCTCAGGCCGGTCTTGTTCTGATTGCGCGGTTTTTCGCTTTTCTGCAAACTCTAACAGATTAACTTCACTAGCAGTATACCGAACCATTTCACCCTAAATAAAATATAACTTTCATCAAAATAGCATAAACGTACCCTTGCTGGCATGGTGCGAAACCCATGCTGGATAAATTTTAAAGAAAGCTTGACTAAATCTGGCAAACGCTTTCTAGAAAACCAGCGGTTGCAAGCTATCAAAGTTTTAAGTAAAAAAATAATAAAAGAAGCTTTAAGATTATTTGTGTGCTTCTATAAAAAAATAAACCCTACTCTATTGGTATGAATGATGATTACTACTGATTTCAAGTTAAGACTTCTGATGTACTTTTAAATGACCATCCTTTATACAAGAGGCACGTGCAATTCACATCGATGCCGTACTAATGTACCAATGAGTACCAATGAGCAAGATATTGTCGTTGTTCTATCTTAAAAGTTAAAGCGTGTTAAACTCTGACAATTTGCTCAAAGGTCCGTGAACCATAGATCCGCAATTCACTTCAGTTGAGAACCCTCAAAGAAAAATGATCCTACTTTCAGCTAAAAAGTTGTGAATCGGACATGGTACTCAAAAAAGAGGGTCTAAATTACCTTTGTTTATTTAATGATTAAAATAGGATCAATAAATGAAATCCTGGACATTGTACATTGAACAAGGTACATACCTGACCCAAGAAGCTTTTTTCACTAAGATTACAGAATGCACAAAGTTTGGACGGATAGGCTTCAGTGTAGAATTGTTCATCAATACTCGCTAAACTCGCGTTATCACTATCATCTGGAGGCATAGGAGTGGATCCAGGAGATGTTTGAAACCTAACAGAATAATACGAAAATTAAACATAAAATAAAATATCAATGATAATTTAAAAAAATCTTTTTTGGCGATTTAAATAAGATTTCACTGCAACTGTAACCTTTGCATAACAAAGTCACAAATACTAGTATTAATCCCGTATTATTGACCAACTCCTATGATTTCAGCGTTTCTGATTTTAGCATTAAAGAAAAAGGATTTATGCCCTTGAGGTTTTTTTCCGTTTTAGGTTAGTGACTTTATAACTGAATCTGTCCTTTTTGGCAGCGAATTTGAACTTGTGAGTTGCGAGGAAAAATCCCTATCAAAGCGTAATTTTGATATCTCATGTTTCGACCTACTGTAGTGCTTTATGTATAAACATTAAACATATCTAACCTTGAAGCCCCGATGTCTGCGGATGAAGAGGATTGTTGTTGTTGTTGCATATAGTAGAGATAATCACTGTTGAAAGCACCTTCTCGTTTCCTAGCCCGGATACCAGGACCACCCCGACTACCCCGTCCTCCCCCTCCTCGGACATATTCTGTTCCATCCAGACGTTTCAGTTTCACGCCAATTTTCCGTCCTCTAGGCGAGATTCCTCCGCCTCTGCTGCCCCGCCCCCGCCCTCGAGGTGAGGTCGAGGCGGATATAGCCGCCACCATCGCCTGAGCTTGTGCGTAACCACCCGCCGCCTGTAAATCAGACATATCTCATGATTAAATAATTCCACCAAAGTTTCGAATATGTAAGTGTATGCAACAGCTGAAATAATGCGCAAACTCCGCCAAACCAAACCGTTGTAGCGGTCGGTTACCAACCCAACCTGTCAACCTGTTGCAGGTATAATATTAACGTGCTTAAATGTCGTCTTCTATATCAGAACTTTTAGATGCTAGGTATTGTTTAATGATTTTATCAAGATGCGAAAGTAAAATAAAATTGTAGATCATAATTTGCGTTTTTATTGTATCAACATTATGTTTCATGCTATACAATCTTCAGGATTGGAAATCATCGCTATATATTTACAACCAAAGTTATATCCATCTATTTGTACTACCTCTTTTAGTACCTGTAACTCTGAATAACTATTCTTTTTAAATGAGTAACTTACGTTTGGTTAAGAGACATTATTTCTGATACTGCATCGAATTGCATAGGGGATGATTTAATAACCCCCCCCCCCTTCTTCAGTTATATCTTAGGTGCATACAATTTTTGCTCTATTAGGAAAAATGATTTTTTGGGAGAAATAAATTAAATTTGGAGTGAGAAGTTTAACAATGGCAAGTAGATGCGTTAAATTTTTCAAATTATTAAGAATCAATGTTTTCAAAATATACAGTACTAGCTTGGGAACCCAGCGCTGCCTAGTTTACTCATAGTTACACCAGCCGTTTACCCGCGCTTGATATTAAATTACGATTTTAACTCTAATTCGCTATTCAAGTCGTCCCACTCAACTTAAAATCTCAAAATCAAGATTTTAGTAGTTCTCCCGAGTTCCCCAATCAAACATACAGAAAGAAAAAGAAGATCGAATTGGCTGAAATTTTTTGAGGAAACCCATAGGTACCCTGGTGGTACCAAAGACTAATGTGATTTTTGTTTAATATTTCTTAAGTTCCCCGGGCAACACCGGGCAATTTAACTAGTAAATAATTAATAAAAAGATACACCCTATATAACATGTTAACAAAAGTGACCTGCAGCATCGCCATATTGGACAACATGTTAGTGAGGGGTTTAGCAGCAGTAGATCCCCAACTGTTAGTACTGCTACTACTACTGCTGCTAGATATACTCTGCATCTGCTGAACATATTGGGCTAGAGCTGCTTGGGTAGCTAGTGCTTGAGAGGTAGCTCCGGCAGCTTGCAGCTGCTGAGTAATAGCAGCTTGAGCAGCAAGTGCCTAAAATATTTGGAATAAGGAATAAAACAAAATAAAAATGTTAAAGTAAACAAAACAAAAAAGATATCACATTTATTCTTCATCATAAAAAACTGTTAAGGGTACCGTTGTGCATCGGGCATGCCAATATTTTAAATACGTGTTTTTACGACTGAATATATTTGAAGAAAAAACTTAGGTAAGTTGAGATTAGAAAAAAATAAATAATAATGATGCTTGAAATTTAATATTTATTTGCTTTTAAAAACATATTTACAAGGAGGGTCAATTGGAATATCGCTAACAGTCCCTTGAGTCTGATTTTCAATACCTGGTATGCTGTGTACTGGTCGGACATCTGGGAGAAGTACTCCTCCATCCTGGTCTGCAGGGTCTCAGAGGACCTAGATATAGATTGTATCATTCAAAGTGACTGTTCCTGGGGGTTTAAGATACTCTAACATGAGAGAAATAAGGAAACAATTAAAATTTGATCATGACTAAACTTTTTATTATGGTTTATTGCTCAAGTCGTGTGTTTCAAAAATGACAAACATAGTTTTACAAAAGTTTAGTGTATTCCCAAAAACAAAACCCTTTCAAAGAGTTTGTTCGCAAAAAAATATAGAAGTAAAGTGATTTTCAACCGTTCGGCTTGACTTGCATTGGTGAGAGAATCACTCCCTTGAAACCTTCGTCAAGTTAGCTTTGATTTTGTCACTTGTGTGAACTGTTAAATGCAATCTCAAATTGAAGGTTCAATTCAATTTGAGTTGATTTTTGTAAATATATCAATTTTATTGTTAATCATAGATATTTGAAAACCCTCACTAAACTTTATCTTATTCTACGTCTTAAATTCTAGAATACATGTTTGAGGCAACGAATATAATCTTGATGTAACTCTGACATGAAAAACATTAGAAAACTTTCCCAAACTCTGAATCACGCTTCTTACATGAACCAACACTTGTCTTTTCGTTAAATGGTGAGACCGGCTAGACTTGACTGAAACAACTGGTCAAATATTACGACCTTACGTTCTTATTTTAAAATTGTTCACTGTAAAAATGTTTTTCACAACAATACTGCACTGTTCGCTCAACTACCATGACTAGCCGGTCTGTCCCTTTAATTGTATATATAATTGATAAACATTTTTCTTTGTTATACCTTCCAGGAGAAGAACTTGAAGTTTGGGATTCCTCGGGAGATTCTAGTTTTACCGCAGTCTCCTTCTTCTCCTTTTTCTCTAAACTCTTTTCATTCTCCTCATTTCCTTTTTTGGTTTCAGATTTACCCTCTTCGTCCTCTTTCTCATTTATTTTGGGTTCTTTTGTTTCCTCCTTATCCAGTTTCTCCATGTCAGAATCTTTTTCCTTCTCCCCCTTCTCCTCCTTCTCCATGTTCTTTTCCTCGTCCTTCCTTCCCTCAGACATTATCTAGTTTCTATTTCTTACCATTTTCTGAAAAAAAATAAATCACAGCTAAGAGTGGAAAATTATAAATCTGGAGAAAATATCTGAATCAACGTTTAAAAGCATTAAGCAAGGGAAAATAAAAAAATTAACTGAAACTCAAGATGAAAATGGTTTAAGTTAGATTGATCATTTTTTAACCCTTTAAAAAAGGTAAATTTTAAAATATACAACACTGGAACAAAATATTATAATCTAAATCAAAAATTTCTTAAATATTATAATTACACAAATCTTTGACAACGAATTAAACAAAAGCCATGGTTATTGGTTAACATCAATGTGCTATATAAATATATATCTAAACTATGAAAATACTTGGACAAGAAATGGATTAGAAGTCCTAACTTGATAAAATAATAATATCATAAATAATTACAACTATGAATTTTAATGTTTCGTAAATTCTTTATTACACTTCCATCTATTTTACTTATTCCTTTTTTTTGACAAGCGTAAAATATTGTTTGAATTCCGAACTATGGAACATTAAAAAACCTAGAAAATGAAAAAAAATTTCGTTGTGATTGAAATTTTTATAAGCATTTCAACATAGATTGCTTACGACAATTAGAAAAAATAATCACATTTAAATTGGGGGCATAGTTACAATAAAAAAAATTATAAAATTAAAATGCACAAATCCAAAGTTTTCTTTGGTTTAAGTTTGTTTAAAATGTTAAAAGTCAAGTTGGCGTAAATACACCAAATATGTTCTGTTCTTTAAAGTTTGTCCTTTCAATAGATTAGTTTTAAAAATCACAAACATTAAAACTTTTGAACTGACAAAAATCATAAATTTTAATTTTAATTTTCGGAATGATATGTATTCCGGAATTTGCCTGTTCCAAATTGTTTTACACGGCATCCATTAATTTGTAATTGTGCGTTTAGTGATTAAACAAAAATAGGTTTATGAGTTTAATTGAAGGGAGTCCTGGCCGTTATATTCATCATCTCCTGGGTTTTCCGTCCAAACCTAACAGATAAATAACATGTAGATATAAAGAAGTTACAAGGGTTTTGTAAACCTAACAGATAAATAACATGTACATATAAGGAAATTACAGAGGTTTAGTAAACCTAACAGATAAATAACATGTAGATATGCAGAAGTTACAGGTTTAGTAAACATAATAGATAAATAACATGTAGATATGCAGAAGTTACAGGGGTTTAGTAAACCTAACAGATAAATAACATGTAGATATGCAGAAATTACAGGGGTTTAGTAAACCTAACAGATAATTAACATGTAGATATAAGGAAATTACAGAGGTTTAGTAAACCTAACAGATAAATAACATGTAGATATGCAGAAGTTACAGGTTTAGTAAACCTAATAGATAAATAACATGTAGATATGCAGAAGTTAAAGGGGTTTAGTAAACCTAACAGATAAATAACATGTAGATATAAGGAAATTACAGAGGTTTAGTAAACCTAAAAGATAAATAACATGTAGATATGCAGAAGTTAGAGGTTTAGTAAACCTAACAGATAAATGTAGATATGCAGAAGTTACAGGGGTTTAGTAAACCTAACAGATAAATAACATGTAGATATAAAGAAGTTACAGGGGTTTAGTAAACCTAATAGATAAATAACATGTAGATATAAAGAAGTTACAGGGGTGTAGTAAACCTAATAGATAAATAATATGTAGATATAAGGAAGTTACAGAGGTTTAGTAAACCTAACAGATAAATAAAATGTAGATATGCAGAAGTTACAGGTTTAGTAAACCTAATAGATAAATAACATGTAGATATGCAGAAGTTACAGGAGTTTAGTAAACCTAACAGATAAATAACATGTAGATATGCAGAAGTTACAGGGGTTTAGTAAACCTAATAGATAAATTATACATGTATATATGGAGAAGATACAGGTTTAGTAAACTAATAGATAAATAACATGTAGATATAAAGAAGTTACAAGGGTTTAGTAAACCTAATAGATAAATAATATGTGGATATAAAGAAGTTACAGAGGTTTAGTAAAATTAATAGATAAATAACAAGTAGATATAAAAAGTTACAAGGGTTTAGTAGACCTAACAGATAAATATGTGGATATGAATATTTAAATTTTTAAGTTAATATTTAAATTAATTATATTCCACAGAACAGTTCCAACCTCTGAAGATCTTAAAAGATTGCGACTTACCTAAGATGTATGAAGAGAAAGACGACCCCCATCAGAAAGCAAATAACTCCGACAACAATGTACGCAATCCCTAGGAACGGGTTCCTGCCCCCCAACAGGCTGGTGGTGGACAGTATAACACTTTTAGTTCCTTGGAACTCAGTAACCTGGATACAGTAGATTAATCATCCATTCATTCATAGATTTAATCATTTATTGATTAATTAATTGATGATGTCATTCGATAATGATGAAGATCAATTGAGAGAAAAGTGGATTCAGAGGGCAATAGTAATGAATAGCAAGAAGTGGTTTAACTAGGTATGCATAATTGAACTATTTATCTAGTGTAACCTGGAGAACTAGTTCTAACTACTTTGGGCTATTAATTAGATCCGACCCCAGATTAAATATAAATACATACAGGGTTACCCACAAAGAGCGAGACTGTAAAGACGACCTAAAACTCAATAAAATATGACGTTTCCAAGGTTAAATTAAGTATTATGCCATGAAAAGAATCTTTTAATCGCCTTTTTAATGATAAAGCAAAGAAAATAACAAATTTTCAGCTGCAAGGAATCCTAAATCTACGGAAACAGAAAAAGTTAATTCCTTTACAGTCAACTCTGAACCCTTGTGAGTAACCCTGTATGATGAAGATATTCAGTTTTAAAATTACATATTAAATTAAGAGCAAACTTGAACAATTAAGTTTAATTTCTTATTATTTATTCTACAGAAAACGCAAACTCTTGAATTTTAAGAGAACTTTAAGAACCCGGATAAAATATTTTAAAAATAAGAAATAAAAATGGGTCAAATTTCTCTGTCTATAATCAGATAAATGGCTCTTTATCATATTATTGCTAAGTGGTTTACATCAGTACCCTTTTTCAATCTTAATCTTTTTACGCAACAAAAAATTAAAATTCCAAATTTTGCAGAAGTTTACATTATCTCGAAAAATAATTTCTCTCTCCCCATCCCCCCCCCCGCTTTTTAAAATAATTTTTTCCATAGTATTTTGGATATATGTATTAAAAAGTATACCAAAATTTGCATTTTTGATGTCCAATTTTTCAGTTTTTCCCACAAATTATTAAAATCATTACCGGGTAATTCTGAAAAACATACACCTCTGAAAACAAAAAACAAAATTCTTACCCTGAAACTATAATTGATCCGAAGCCTGTACTCGTAATCTTTGACAGGAAGTCCATTTTGAAATGCAGGATCATAACTATTAGAGGCAGCCTCATTCTCATGATCAACCCGTCGGTACAGTTTCCTGCAGGAACATATAATTCAATTTCTTACCAAACTCAAAACTTACGTTTGCTAATCAACGATGTGACAACTTAAAATTTTAGGATAATGTAATTAAGTTATCCCTGCCACGGGTTCCGACCACGGAATATCCCGGCCAAATCAATTTAAATTTTCAGACGAAAAATGAAACGGATAAACGCTTGTTCAAGGGAGTAACAACACAAGTTTTGAACTCAGTATAAACTAAATTTTAAAAAAATTAAGAAAAGGAAAAAAGATATTTTAAGACTGGATTGGTACTAATATAGTATCGTTTGCCCAAAAAGTTAAGCATTCCGAACTTGTTTGGGGGGGGGGGGGGTCAATTTAATGCAAATCCCTGGCTATCCTTCAAATTTTCTAATCTAACTTAATATTGAATTATCCCTGAAGTTGGGTAACGCTGCAGCTCGCATCCACACAATCAAATCCTCGTTCTGGAATCCATTATTATCTGGATCCTCAAGATCTAAATCAATCAATCATGGAACAAGGCAAGGACACTATTAAAACTTATTTATCGCAAACGCTGTACAAATTTAACTTTCTCATTATAGAACTTAAAACTTGTGAATTGTATAAAATCAAGTTAAAAAGTTGTAAAACAATCAGCATTCATCAGAGCTAAAACTTATTGATAATATAATTGTCACAACTAAAAACTTAAAATCAGTCGCTAACATTCAAATCATATCATAAAAAAATCAAAAAACAAAAAAATGCCTATCAATCAATCGTCGCCCGTAACTATAAATACTCTGCTTGTCTTGTCTGTCTATCAATTTGTTCCGAAATATCCAATGAACGAAAAAACGGCTTAATCGATCGAGGCAACCCACAAGACCTCAGGTAACATTTAAGGCTGGCTAAGTTGAAAAATGTTGCCCAAAAAAATGTCGAACTTTATTATTTTTGAAAAAGCATCAATTTAAACAGAAAAATTTAGAACGGTTAAAAATGGCGACTTTCAAAGTTTAATTTGTTTAATAGGAAATGGGAAGCCTAGTAACTTTACTAAAAATCAAACCAGACATTAAGGGACGTTGTAAGACCACATAAACATTCTTGAAATGACTCTACTAATTTTCAAAGGAAATGTGAGTTTACGATTTGTAACGATTTTCCGTAATTACAATCGAACGCAATTATTGACAATTTATCATGCTTGGTCAATGTGGCTTTGATGATTACTAGATTTAATCTGTCAAATCAAAACATGTGGAATTATAGCTGTGTACAATGATGATGTCAATGATGATTTTCTTCAGGTTATAAATCCTCAACATTTTACCTAACTCCCATAGGTTCCTTTTCCAATCTTGAGGCTTGAGAGCTCCTGCTTCGGTTAGAACTGTTGCTAAATCTTTACCCTGGGGTATTGGAGGATTCCTAAACAAAAATAATAGCGCTTTTTTTTAAATCGTCAATTATCATAATCCTACTCTTTGTTACGATAGCTTTTCATTACAAAGATTATTTATTAAAAATGAAAATGGACTTTTATTTCATTTCGACAAATAGGAATTAAATTAATCCTTCGAACGACAGAAGAGCCGGTTAGGGATTAACAAATCAAGAATTTTAACCTCAAGATAAAATCTTACTTGAATTTATGCTTTTTGTCGCTCTCCCAGGCAATATTTTTCCGTGAAACTTGAACAGGTTTAAAACTACTGTCTGGGTCTCCTTTCCTCTTGTACTCTATACAAACACACATATTTATATTTATGTCGATCAGGGGATATTGCGCGTACAGTTCCTTTAAGGAGACTTAAGCCTCTCTGATGCGCAGAATTTAGATTTACTTGTATAAAGAGAAACATCAAACCACAATTAGAAATTAGAAATCTTCAGAAAAACGAAAACATTTACATCAGTTTTACTTGAGACAAAAATTCACAGTTGTGACTCAAACATCTTAAAATTACATTTACAGGGAAGTTTTGAGTAATCAGAGCTGGGAACTTTAGAATGGATAACCTTTCATCCCGACTGCACAATCCGAATATCCACAGTGGAAATATTTAATTTTAGTCCTTAATCCTCTTTTTTTCTCTCTCTTTGGATATCCGTATATTGTTTTCTCCAATGAAAGTGTAGGAATATTGTTCGTAAATTGATTGAAAATAAATTCTATCCAGTAAGAGACCACTACAATTTCTAACAAATAAAGAATTTGTTATCAGCCATTTTGTAAATTAATTGGCGAACAAAAATATGTAATAATACGTTTGAGATTTAAAAAAAATTAATTTAACTAATGTATTAATAAATAAGTGGGTGAGAAATTAAGTGAAGACCATTCCAGTCAAGAAAACGAACAAATCTGGCGTTCCTAGAATCAAATTTGTTGATCTAAATAATTAATCGCGGAATTAACATAATCTCAAGATTATGTTAGTCTCGAGATTAGCAAAAAGAGAGAATTAAACATTAATCCTGACATCTATCATTCTAAAGTTCCCAGCTCAGTTGAGATAAAAAATGTCTAAATCATCAGAACTCAATTAAGTACGTTTCAATTTATATCAAATTTGGGTACAAACAGAAACCAGATTTAGTAAACAGTGAGATGTATTGGAACTACATTAACATAGTTAAACCACTTCTCTTCAACTTGACCGTCACGCAAAAGAAGTGGTTCAACTAAGTCTACTTCGTTTAGCTACTTATTGTTAATAATAAAAGTTGGTTCTAGGTCATTTATCATTAAACTATTTTTTTATTCTTCAATTATTGTATTTTTAAATATAATTTACAGGTTCCACGCAGTGTAGGTTTGAACAGATTAAATTTTCTTTAGGAAACCCTGAGAATTTTAGGATCTTAAAATCAAGCTAAATTAGTTGAATTTCTGTTTTACTTCGGACTGTTTTAGTTGTTTCTACTTGATGATTTAACATTAAGACTTAATGTGTAGTTTTCCTAGAGTAATGACGTCACTAAAGAGACTGTTCGCTATTGCACCACAAGGTGCGTAGAATTGGTTCTTGTCTGTATCATTGGGCCGAAGAAAGGGAACACACTCCTCACTAGGAGATCTGAACAAGAAATAAATAAAATCGAATCAAGTAAATTCAAATCGAATCGAATCGAATCAAACCGAACCGAACCGAACCGAACCGAACCGAACCGAACCGATTGGAATCGAATCGAGCCGAATCAAATCGAATTAAATCGAATCAAATCGAATCAAATCGAATCAAACCGAATCAAATCGAATCAAATCGAATCAAATCGAATCAAATCGAATCAAACCAAATCAAATCGAATCAAATCTATAAAATCAAATAAATCGAATCAAATAGTGGATTTAAAGCATTTAAGTTCAAGTTAAATTTTTGAAATAAATCAGGTTAAATTTTTCAAAACTATTACAAAACTACTCAATAAACAAATATATGACCCACCCAAGGTTGCCAAGAAGTTGATTATCGTCTCTAGATTTAACATATCTTCGATGGTTCTGGTAGAAGTTGGTCAAACCATAGTAAATAAAAACCTAAACAAGGAGATTTTGGAGTGCCCTGATTCATAATTATGATACTTGATCGCTGGATCTTAATCTTTTTAGAGTCAAAGGTAGGGACGGGACCAGTCCAGTGTCCATCCTCATTTAATCTCAAAAGAATGGGCGATTAATTATCTTAAATCAACGCCAATTTATTTTTCAATATCATGAAATTGTCAAATGGATTGATATACTTAGGTTGTCATTAAATTCTCATCCTTTGTGAATTGTGGGTTTAAAATTTTTTTTAGAAATTTTTTTTCTTTCAAGATATCATTTTCACAATTTAATAATCTTCACCTTTCCAACCCAGTCTTCTGTTCCAAAATCTGATGAGTTTAGATTAAGAAGACAAGTGCAGGATGCATCTAAATACACAAATAATAGAGAAGGGAATATTCTAGGAGTATTTATTTTCAAGAAATGATTTTCGATATTCCGGGGAAAAATAAAGAAATAGGATAGCTAGAGGCAAGCTTTTAAACCACCATTTGTGATACTTTCAGCCAAAAATTTCATTCCTTTACCCAACATCTTTCATTTCCAGATAATTTACTGAATTAATCCCCCCCCCCCATAATCTCGGTTTTAGCCCTTATTATTGGTAAACCTGGGTTATCTGTTAAGACTGCTGAGCACTGGCGAGGTGTAGCTGAGCTAACAGTATTCTCTTTACACTCAGTATAATCGTAGGTCACCTCTAGTACTTGGTTTGAGAAATAGAGCAGTCCAATACCTAAATAATTTTCAGAGTAAAAATATTTTGAAAGTAGTATTTTCTTTAAATATCTCCCCTCCTCCCTCCCGATGGGAATAAAAGTCGTTTCCCCTTTTTTAAGATACGTATTACCGAAATATTTAATTATTTTCCTCTTAAAATTTATTATTTTTACCAACTTCTATGATAAAAAAATCTTTTAAAGGGAGGGGGAGGGGAGGAAATTATTTATTAACAAAAAACATCCCTGTAAAATCGAAAAGATTTGATAAAGAACTTACCAATAGGAATAAAAGCAACGCCGATAACAAAAAATGCCGGCAAAACAGTTCCGGCGGTAAGAATCGGCTGCCAAGCCGGTAATGCTTGCTGTTTAAACTTGCTGTTCTTCGGCTGACGATTTCTCACTTCGGATTCTTCCTCCGTCGACATTTTGCCTGAAATTTTCAAATTATCACAGATGGTCTAGTGTTCATTTCGTCTTTCTCCCTCTCTCTCTCTTGCTAGAAAAAATCCGCAACTCGGGTTGAATCCAAAAAAATCTGCGAAAATTCCCAAGAACTGATCAAGAACTTCTAAAGCTAGTTTGAAGGATTGAACAATGAGCTTGTGTGCATAAAATAATCTATGGCTGCGGAGAAAGCAGCAAAACCAGCAGCTCCAAATCCAGCAGCTTTAATTCCAGCTCTAAAACATATCACGCATTTGGAAATAGTTATCCCGTATTCAAGTAAGCATATCTCTAGATTTCTATAATCAGGCTTCAAAAATCTAAAACTGGAAATTTTATGACTGAAATTTTTTTTTCAAAATAAAGCGAATGTACCCTTAAAAATATCTGCCGCTTCGCACAAATATACCAAAATTCCGGGAGGGGAGGTGGGATGAGGTTTTTACTGATGCAATATGTTAATGAAATAATAATTGAAAATGCCATCACTCTGAAAAATTCTAAACACAAACTTAACACATTATTTTCCAAATTGCATAATTCCCTGAAGCCAAGAAGCCCTCCTGTGATACCTCCAGCATAAACTGAATTCCTCCAATCTGTTTTAGCCCGGTAAGATTCAACGCAACACTCTACTCCAGCAAACATAAAACCTAAATTAAAAATAAGAAAATGTATACATTTTCTTAAAAATACATTTTCTTAAATTATCATCCCCATCCCCCCCCCCAACATTTATAAAATCATTTATTTTTTTCCGGAAGTTATATATAGTTGCACGGAACGGAACTTTCATTTCTCATTCCCCTTCGGGGCGGGGGGGGGGAATTCTGAAAAATATATACCCCTGAAAATAATGTTTCGAGAAATCAAAATAATAACAAGGTTAATAATATATATTAAGAACAAATTGAGCATTTCCAGAAATCGAATTCCAGAAGTCAAAAATGTAAATGTAGAAAACTAACACTGACCTATAGTTGCAAATTGTTTTGCATTACTGACAATAGTAGATTTCATATCCATTAATGTTTCTCTTGTTGACATTTGCACTGTTGTATGTTGGGGGGCCATACTACTGTTAAACAAGCCAATAAAACCTCCCAGGGCACCACCAACAACAAAACTCATGCAAGCTCTATAAATTTTATCAATTTTTTAAAAGTTCTAAAACTTTCACGTTAAAAGGGACTGTAGACGTAATTTCGATGGATCATCTGATTATGAAGAGGCATTTCCAATTCACAACGGTATCCTTTGAACCTATGTCTGATTAAATGTGATGAAAAGTAAATCTTGTTTTCTATCTGAAAATGGATTGCAATTTCTCGTAAGTCACTGGATGATTTATGCTTCTTGAACAATGAAGTAAAATTATAAGAATTCAACACTTTTAAGATGGAAAACGGCGACTTATTTCTTTACAGACATTGAATTGTTAAGGCAAAAAAACACTCAATTTCGCCTTTTACTCAAAACTTAATCGATTTTGGTTTTGTTAAAAATTGTTATAGAAGGCTGAAAATCAAGATGACTAAAAAAATATGCGTAAAATCATTCGACCAGAAAAGATAAAATTTGAGGATGAACTATACAACCTATTCCGGGGGTGGGCGATGCAATCGATTTTTAAGAAAACGACGATTTTGACCAAGTGGGACTTAATAAAAACGAAATGCCGGCTCGAATATTGAAAGGCTACATAAATCTGCAATTAATGTAATTTTCAAAAATGAGCACGCTATCAACACAAAAACTTTCTGACCTTGTAAGTTTTTATCTGAAGAAATTTTGGAATTTAGATTTTTACAATTGTGTATTTGCATAGAGTTTCAATATTCGAGCCGGTTTTCTAAGTCGTTCGTCATGAAAATCGTCATTTTAATTTACAAAAATCAGTTATTTTAGACATAACTTCCAAAATATTTGCCGGATCGCGTCGCGCATCCCCCAAAAGTGTTTGTCTTGTCCACCCGGAACTTTTATGTTTTCTAGTTAAAACGATTAGAGCAACTTTCATTTTACGGCGAAATTGAGTGGTTAAAAATTTCATTGTGTTACAAATATGCAATAAGAGTTTTAAGGGGTCCGTTATGGTCTTCAACCATACTCAATAGCTGTTATAAATCGATTATTTTCCTAAATGGACAGCTTTCAGCTATATTTGCCAACATTAATTCTTCTCTCGGTTGAACCCTGAACAAACAAATTTTAAATTCATGATTAGATTGATATAGGGTTAATATAATTGATATAAAATGAAAATATGAGATGAAATAGCTCAATAGACAGAATCAATTAGGAAGAAAGAAAGGTGTGTTAGAATGTGTTAGGTCGATGATTTTTAACAAAAATATCTCCAACTGCTCCGCCAATTGTGATAACATCTGTACCTGGCAGGCCCAGCTGACTGAGGAACTATAATATTAGGGTTAAGTTTTATTTTATTCTCCACTAAATATTTAAGAACACTATGAAATTCAGTCGGAGAGAAGGGCTCGGAGCTACGAGCAGGTTCCATTTTTAACGCCAGGATAAATAATTTTATTCTGAAAGACAAAAGGGTTAGAAAGTTTTACTAATTCTAAAAGACTGATAAGTGTGTTCCCGGCTCACAACATAAAAAATTGATGTACTCGAATTAAGAAGGAAGGAGGGTCCAAAACCATCTTTTAAAAAGTTATAATGTAACATATAAGAAAGTTTTAAACCTTAATCTATGAACTTTTTAAATTAAGACTTATGTTAGTAATGAATTTTAATGTGTTTTAGTTTATTGAATTCGATATTTATAAACAGCTGAATGTTTGGACCTCTGTTCGTTTTAGATAACTATTCAGGAAATATGCTTACAACACGCGGCATTTTAGGAGTCCAAAAAAGACGACTATTTATCGAATGACGATTGATTGATTGTACAAACATTATGTTTGGACTATTGTTCTTTAAAAATAAAAAATAGATAAATTATAAATACGGGTCAATATAAATTCTCAAGTGTGATCGCATAAAAATTGCTGTTTGGAGCGGAAAATGAAGTTTTGGGACAAATATGAAATATAGTCAAGACAGAACAGTCCTATAAAATACTGCAATTTTAGAAAAATCAATTCATCATGAAATTTATGGCCGACTTGAAGAGTTTAAAGATGCCTGCTCTCTTAGTAATTTTTGCAGGGGGTGACGTACCCACCATCCTAGTATATCAGGCCACGCAGCCCAGAGCCCCTGGCTATAGGCTGGGCACGTTCCGACTTTTTTTTAAATCGTTCCGTTCCGCTCTAGAACGATCGGGCCTTCAGCTAGATCGTTCCTTTTTTTCCAATCGCCCCGTTTCATCCCTTTCCATTCTTCGTCAAAGAATGGGTCATCCCGCTCCGTTCCAAATTCCATAGTGTTCTTAGTCATAGTAATTAGTTCCTTCCCCACGTTCCTTTCTAGTCAAGAAGAATGGAGGGGGGTCTTGTTGACATT